TTTATGAAGACATTTGAAACGTTAATGTAGATATCTGAATATAAAAAACATACTAAACAAGAACAAGTAAATAGTGTATAAAACCCATGGAAACTACGGACATCCAAACAATACCACATAAACACACAACATACCGAACATAATAAAATATTTTATGCTGATATTGCTGATGATGCTTTACGCGTCACAAATGGTTTAATGTAACTTGATAAAAACATGTTTCTTATGATGATGCGGCATCGAAAGTATAATTTATAATTGCAAAATGCCGTGCCATAGTAATTATATTATTCTTCAATGCGCGATTGCGTGTAACTCGATCGTGTATCCTAATTTATAGGCGCCGCCATGTTAGACGACGGTACTATTCTTAAATTGGCCAGAGCAAACATGTATGACAAATTGCTCGATCATGTCTGATTTTCGTTCGGTCGTGAATGTCTCGATTATAAGCTGTTTCGTGACATTTATCCGATTCTATCGCTTTGCTACGTAACCTTACTAATGTAATAATCCCATGATTTTACTAGTAAATTCTTTAACTTTCATCAAGTATTTTTTTCCAAATAGGATCATGTTTTCGTTACAATTTAAATGCTTGAAATCGATAATTTCAAATATGATAATGATCTGGAAAAAGATGTGCGGCCCCGTCGGAAATTGAAAAAAACTTGAAAAATAAAAACCATTGCGTGTGTAATAAATTGTGTCTTTAATTTTAGTGGGCAAAGTATCGTATGTGAACGACAGAATGAGTACGGACGGACACAAAAATTTTCTGTCAATGTCGAATTTTAAATGTAAATAACGTATAACTAATAAAATAAAGTAAAATTCAATGTGTTCTATTAGCGCGTTCCAAGTTTAAACGAGGGCACTGAATTGAACGTAGGAGGGCACTGAATGCAAACGACGCACGCGGGCGTATTGATAAATTTTCCCTGTGATTTCTTAATTACCGCGCAAGAGCGTAACTAACTTTTGGTAACGCGTTTCTCTCACCGAAGGCACGGTACTGCGAGAAAAACTGATTATCGTGGATTCGTCGAACAAAGGAGATATATAAATTTACGGAACCGATATAAAGATGATGTAGAATAAATAATCACGTAACGCTTACGAAAACACTAGGCGATTATAATAAAAAACTCCTGCGTAAATTTTGTGCGCATTTGGATTTTTTTAGTTTTCCGAAAATTTCAAAAGTGGGGGGGGGGGGGGTTCGACCCCGAATCCCCCCCCCCCCCCCCCCCCCCCCCCCCACCCTCCTGGCTGCGCCACTGAATATAGGATTTACATATTTATCCCAAGGAAGAGGAAAGCCGATAAGACGGCTTAATCATATGGCTAACCATGGCTTGTCCGTTTACCGGTCCATGTCGGGCATGGGATTAGTTTTTTGCAAGCATTGACTGGATTGGGGAGGAAGCCATAACCGACCAGCGGTAACGTGAACCACCCTACATTGGGCCAATCCTCCTGCACATAACCACCCTGTCATGGAATTTTAACAGGCGACCCCACGCAGGGTAATCAGAGATGAGGTGGAGATCGTATTCCTAACGCTTGGCATGATGTGCCATCCGTGGACAATGCCTTTTTAGGACAATTATTTAAGTGGTATTTGATTCTCTCATCCCACCACTCCCACGCATCCGTATCTACATTTGACAACGATTTCTTCAATACAATATTGTTTATTGAAATTTTCTAGAGCATGCCTGGATCAGGAACTGACTTTTCTGCTGTGGCTCTTGGTGACTACATTTATGTTCTCATGCTTAATCAATCTGTTCATCGACTGAAATACTCAGATCATGAAGCTACTTGGGAGAGAATGAATGATATGCTGTATAAGCATGGGACGTGTCCTACTATTGCTGTTTTGTCTGGTAAGAATTGCTTCAAAATTCTTTTGCCCAACAATATCTTGTTACCTTTGCCTCAAGACTAGTAATTGAGTTTTTTAAATATCCTGTTGCTGTTTTATTGGGTGAGGAGTTGCTTCAAGAATTCTTAGTACTGGTCTGTTTAGGAATTTATCGAAAAACATATTTTAATACCATTTGGTACCTAATTCCAGTTCAGCCTTGTATTGTAACTATATCACTTCATTGTGGGTGACCCAAAATTCTTCTGAGCGCTTCGTGCACAAAAAAACTGATAATTTTTTTCTGATTTGTTAAACTTGTCACCTAAACAAAGTGTACAAATACAATTCATATTTTCATATCAACACTACTTAATAAATATAACACAATCTATCTGTGTAAGAAATAAGTTGTTACGTACGATCATATATTTGAGTTCAGGAAAATAAATGCCAAGACAAAAATGCCAAAATATTTAGGATTGAGTTACTTTGCTAAAACACGCAGATCCGGACTTGAAAGACCAAAGGACTCGAGTTTATTATACAATACACTAACACTCCTGTTTTAAGATTAGTAGTTTATTTGTGTTTGTATATATCCCATGAAACTTTTTCTTATTTTTTGTTAATGTTTTGTCTTCCATTGCTAATGTCTTATCTATTATTTTGACATGATTTGCATAAATACCATAACTACCGTTTGCTTTGTCTTAAAGACAAATAGTTCTTTACTTTATCCTCTATTATTTTTCAAGTATCATTTGCTTTCTATCATTGGTATGAAATTTAAATTGTTTACAGGAAATCTCTACGTTGTTGGTTCTTCTGATGATTACTCAAAATTAGTTGAAAAGTTCGAGCCATCAAGCAACAAATGGGAAAAAGTAAAAGACAAAAATCTCAACAGTCGTAATTCAACAGCACTGGGTGCTGGAGGTTAGAAGGTGTTGTCTAATAAATAAATGGGTACTCCCGAAATATGTGAATCAAGATGGCGGACACCGGAACGTAGTATGTGTACCAGGTTGGGTTAGGCCATAATTTCAGGTACAAATACTTGGATAGCCACCGCATCTCTGATTACCCTTCGTGGGATCGCAGGTTCGAATTCCATGCGGGGATGATCATGTGCGAGAGGATTGCTGGATTCCTCGCCGCTGTAGGGTGGTTCACGTAACCGCTGGTCGGTTACGGCTTCCTCCACCATCAAGTCCATGCTTCCGAAAACAAAGAACTGGCTAACTAATCCCATACACGACCTGTACTGGTAACTAGGCGAGAGGCCGTGGTTCGCCATGTGATTGAGCCATCTTATCAGCTTTCCTTTCCTCCGGGATAAATATGTAAATCCTATCCTTTGTCCTCGAATAATAGAACTAAAATAGGGAAAATTGGAATAAATTATGGCCTAAACGTAACCTGGTACACATACTATGTTCCGGTGTCCGCCATCGTGGTTCACATACTTCGGGAGCGCCAATAAATGTCATATACATTGAACTGGCTCGAAACAGGCAGTCATACAATAGGTAATAAATGGAATTGTCGCTGGGCCATATAACCAACTTCAGAAATCTAGCTGGACTAATAAATGTTCTGCTTTACAGTAAGTAATAAAGCCATTGGGCAAAACGGTGGAGAATTGAACGCATCAAAAAGAACATAAAAACATGTAATTTCACCCATGTGGGCGACTATTTAAACATATACTGTCGGATCAACTCTTGATGGGGAAAAATCTGAGTGTTGACAAGGGCCACACTAGATAGCTTTGCGGACACCAAATAGCTTTGCCTGTTGTCTAAACCAAACAAGAAAAAATACCGTCTTTAACAGACCAGTAGGTCGTTGCGTATCAGTGGTTGCTTTCACAAAGTGTTTTTTTGCAGCAAACTTGCAATACACTTACGGTAAATAAAAAATGACTGCCAACAGATATCAGATTTATCAGTTAGTCCTAAGTTTTCATTGAATACCAGAATGCAGAAAACACTTGAAAGTAATAATCCTTGTATAATTCCAGGTTGTATATACAGCATTGGTGGAGTAGTATCAGGTCGTTACACCAACCAAGTAGAAAGATTTGACCCAACATCATCAACTTGGTCATTTGTTGCATCCATGAATGAAGCAAAATTATGGGTCGCAACTGTTGAAAATGAAGGAAATATATATGTTCTAGGTAGGTTGGTGCATGTTGCTAAAAATGTAGGAAACTCGAGAAAAAATATTTAGTTTTACTTAAAATAGCAATTAACCAGAAAATTTCAATGACCGTGCTTCAAGATATCAAATGCAATGCCAACATGTAAGCATCGTCATGAACTACTAATATTCCAAACATGTTATTCTGCAAGATCGCAGAATTATATTGTTATGTGACGAATCATGTTCAAATGTTTGTATACCTATATATTTACACGAATGCAAAGGTCAATCCGATAGCCGTGTAAACTGTAAACTCATATATACTTTTGGTACTGTTGCGTCCTTCTTACTAGAAATATTAACTAGTTAGGGTTGGAATTCGGAGTGATATTCTGACATTCATACCGGGTCCTAAAATCTTCAGTTCAGGCTAGTTGAATTTTCCGCATTATATTTATCACCTTGCAGAAAATTTCAATGATTGTGCTTCAAGGTATCAAATGCAATGCAAACATGTTAAAGCATCGTCATGAACTACTAATATTCCAATAATGTTATTCTGCAAGATCGCAGAATTATTTTGTTATGTGACAAATCATGTTCAAATGTTTGTGTACCTATATATTTACACGAATGCAAAGGTCAGTCCAATTGCCGTGTAAACTGTAAACTCATAAATACTTATGGTACTGTTGCGCTACTTTATACTATAAATTTTAACTAGTTAGTGGTTGGAATTAGGAGTGATATTCAGGCATTCTGAACAAGTTCCAAAATCTTCAGTTCAGGCTAGTTGAATTTTCCGCATTATATTTATCACCTTGCAGTTGTTACCTGCCATCATAGTTCATCATTCCCTTTTTAGTTATGTATCGCTTTGTCTTGTATAGGTGAAATTGTCAGTAGATGGATAAACATTGTTTTGTATCATTTAGGCAAAATTGCAAGCAGACATTAACAAACTGTTTATTTCATTCAGGTGGACAAACAAACGATTACTTGTCAACAGTTGAACGATATGATATTTCAACGAACGTGTGGTCCACGGTAACTCCCCTGTTAACTAAACGTAGCTTTTTCAATGCTTTTGTGATTGATTCAAATATTTATGCAGTGGGAGGAAGGAACAGGTAGAGTTATTGAAATTTATCGCAACATAGTGAATATAGTGTCTTCCTATATCCATCACAGCAAGCGTGTGGCCAATGTAACCAGAGTCTATATTTGTAATGTCGACAGACATCTTTCAATGTTTTTGTAAAAGTATTCTTAACCTTGGCTGGATAAAAGAAGCATTATTCTCATATTGCTGACTGGGAATTTTTAATCAGAGTCTTTGAACTGCGGTATATCGTCATTTGTACTATTTTTTTTTAGTTAGTATAGAAGTTAATATTTATAGAAGTTAAATAGTTAATATAGAAATTAAAAATCTTTCAAATGAGTAGCCTAATAACCACTTCACAAACCATTGGTCTTGCAGAACTGAAATATCTTCTCTGTTTTTTCAGTTCACCAGGAAGCATGGAAAAGTTTGATTTCAAGAAGAATCAATGGGAGATGATTGACATGAAGAACATGAATCTGAGGATACTCGATGCAGTGAAGGTTAATCTGAAGTGATTTGATTGTATATGACAGAGAACAGTTCCTTGTGTTACCATTAAAGGACATGCTAGTAGATTATGTTTGCAATCTTACTATAAATTGTATATTATACTTGACATTTCATAGGTGCTTGTGGTACCACTGAGTAAATTTTGTATACTTCTATAATGAGCCTCTGCATTACTTACTGTAATTAATTCATATAGTTGTCTTGAATATAATTCACATATGGCATTGGGATTTGCTTAGAACTGATGCAGGAGAAATTTATTTTGAATGGTTTGGTTTTATTCAACACCCTATAATTGTTTGTATCATTTCTGAAAGAATTCTAATCATAACACTGATATGTAGTCAGAAAATTTACGCCCTGGTGAAAAATCTAGTCTTGCTTGATGAACATTTCGGCTGCTTTTCTCAACGGATAAAAAACAGAGTTTATAAACCTTACATCAGCCACGACTCCACAGCCCTGATTAAGCTTGCTTATCATTTAAAGTTAATTTTTGGCAAATTGGAGTGGGATTCTATATCCTTGTTATGTAAAATTTGTCACCAATATCATATGTCATTGGAAGCGAGTGTTATATACAGTCAGTGGCCAGTAAAAATTAAATTGATTTTTCAATTCCATTCAGTTTTTAATGCCATTCGATATTATCTGAGTATGAAATATTGCCTTGTGCATTCTTCAAGCGGTTCCTTCTTCAATTGAATTCACTTATCATTTCTTAATTAAAATCCGTGAATGAATTGCAATTTATAAATTAGCAGATGCCTTTTCCGCACAATATAATATATTCAATATAGTTTTACTTTAAACAAACTTTTTTCAGTGCTATCTGAAAATACTTATTCATCTTTGTATGTATGTTGTGGTTATTAAAGTTTATTTCTGCTTCCAATATATTCGATAATTATTAATTTATTTTTCATCTTTGCTGTATATTTTATCGCCTATATGCAATCAATACTTTACACCATGCATTTAACGCTGAATTCAATTCTTCACTTTTTATCAGTTTTCAAAATCCACTGCATGATCCGCCTCTCTGTCTTTTTAATCACATTGTTTGAATTGATTACGTTTGATGCATTCCAAATGTTTAAACCTTCCATTGTGAGAGAACTTTATTAAATAAACTAACAAATTAATGAATTTATCCATTTCTCAAATTCCATGTCAATTTGGAGGATTGCTTTGGTTTTCAACGAAAATCTGTTCTTTGATATCAAGTGGGAATTTATTGCTGTTGAACCTGGAAAAGACGATTGCACTTTCAAAAAATACGTTATCATGACCAAAATTTAATTCATATTTATGAAGAAGAGGAATTCAGAATCAAAAATTTTACAAACTATTTACTTTTGTGAAGTAAAATAATTTTGATCTTTAATTAATAAGCTTTCAAAATGAAAATAATATTTTAGCTCAGTCGTCTGGTTTATTCTCGGGGACGTTCGAAACTTTACTGAAAACTACCAAATAAACTCGAAATTAGGAAAACAAACGAATGTTTATAACCAAGCTTGGAATTCTGCCCCAATGTGAAATGCGACTGTTACATCGTCGTAATCTTACTGCTGATGTGTTTAATATCAAGTAAGTCGATCCAGAAAACAAGCTGCCACACGAACACATTCAAGTACATGCATAATACAGCAGGGATACGGCCTGTAATAAAATGTTCGATCATTCCCTGATCAAATATCGTGGAAGGGCTACTTATGAATATTGTCAATAAAATAAATATAATATATGCTGTATATGCAAGTAATCGCTGTTACTTTGAAAAACCTATGTGACTCCTATTTACATGAAGAAAGAAATTGACATACGTCCGCCTTTTGGTTTGTTTACGTCAGAATTTTAAAACTATTTCGTTTACGTCCGCTTCTTATTGGCCAATAAATGAGTAAAGTACTGGCCATCATTGAAATCATATACAATTATGATGGAGCGTTGTGCGCCAGTAAACAGCTATGAGATACCGTGCAACTAAAGCTTTTGAAAAATTTATGGCATAAAATTTTTTTTTCATTGGACTACGCTAAAATACTTCATGACGCGAAGACGTAACAGTGATGATTACAAATCAAGTGTGAACTCAAGCGATAAATATCGACGAGAACGGTGAAGAAACCGAACTTTCATTGATACGTTTCGAATCATTGATATAAATTATGAGTCAAAATTTCATCCAAGTGGTTGTTTGGTTGACACAAGTTGCCGCATACCTGCCAAAGAATGCTCAAACAAAGGTCACCGTCAACCCTATTTGCATAATAATTAGTCAAAAATGACTTATGTAGGTCTCAACAAGGAAGTATAAACAAAGACGATTAGTTCCACCGAGAAGCTAGAATATTTTAGGTGTTTGCACCATTTTCTCCCACTACCGAAAGTTTGTCAGAGAGAGAGTTTATTTCAACAAACGTAACTGCTGGTCCGCTACGGCTTCCTCCGCGATTGAGTTCAAGCATTCAGAGCAAATAGATGGCTATCTAATTTCTAACAGAGGCGGACTGGTAATCGTAAGATCACTCATATTATTGAGCCGTTTAAACGGCTTTCGTCTTCGACCGATAAAAATATTTGTTATGAGTCAATAACCTCGACTAACCCATGAGCGTTGACGCACCATAATAAAACACATACAACTGGTATGAAGCAAACAATATATTTTAAGGGAAAATAAATAAATTGCAATAAATATACAACTGACAAAAACCGTATGCAAATTTGTTAAACCAATAAATTATTTCCATACGCACGAACAGTTATTTTCCCGTGTAGGATGGAACATATAATTGCTGACAAAAACCGTATGCAAATTTGTTAAACCAATAAATTATTTCCATACGCACGAACAGTTATTTTCCCGTGTAGGATGGAACATATAATTGCTGGACTTATTCATGATTAAAAAAAAATAAATAAATAAAAAAAAAAAAAAGAAAAAAAGGATGAATTTTCAATGCATGAAAAAATTCTGCTATTTTGGTATTTTTATAATATATTGTTATTATAACTCATTATATAACTCAGTGTTGAGGGTGTTGTTTTCCAAAATAAAAAAAATTGACTGTAATTGGCTTAATTAAAAAATAATTCCATATTGGCTCTGGAATTTAATTTGGCAAAAAAAAAAAAAGTTGCAGGTGTTGTGTTCTCGTTGAGGGCCGCTTTGCTACTTCAAATTAAGACGTGTCTTACTTATGGTCTCTTTAAAGTTTGTAATACTTGCTTTGTAGTCTACTGTACTGTATGACCCCTTTACCATGGAGTGCATTGTTTGCGCATTCTAGCATAGTCCAATCGCAATTCTGCAATTGTTCAGCGCGGCGGTGTGGCTCAACGGGCTAAGCGTTAGGAATACGCTCGCCACCGCACCTCTAATTACTCTGCGTGGGTTCGCAGGTTTGAATCCCATGTAGGGATGGTTATGTGCGAGAGGATTGCTGGACTCCTCGCCGTCGTTGGGTGGTTCACGTAACCGCTGGTCGGTTACGGCTTCCTCCACCACCAAGTCCATGCTTCCGAAAACAAACAATACAGTAAAAACTAATCCCATACCCGACTTGGAATGGTAACCGGACGAGAGGCCGTGGTTCGCCATATGGATAAGCCGTCTTCAATCAATCAATCAATCAATTTTATTCGGTCACTCTGATACAAACAAAACACAAAACAACAACAAAGGGACAAGCAAAATACAGAGGACCTGGAGGACGCGCATAACCCAATAAAAAAGTTAAATACGTACAAGTACGTGCCCGTCCCCCAAAAACAGAATAAAACAAAAACACGATGTAACATCGGGCAACAACTTATAAATTCAAATTAAAATGTGAGACGTGTATGTGCTTTTCCTATACAGATATATGGATTAAAACACTCGCTGACGAAAAATGGTGATGTTGTGGGCCTACTTCAATTATATTGCAAAAATAACACAGTGACAATTTTTTTTTACTAAAAAACAAGCTTGGTAAATGGATTGGATGTTCCATCATGGTTATTCAGTTAACCATGGTTCCATAGCAGTCTATGCACAAATCATGGATTAGGGTATTGGGTTCTTTTGTCGTTTTCAGTTGGTTCACTTTAAAATCATTGTATCAGTTCCAATGCTTCCAACATTAATATCGAATTTCCACGCGCGACCACCATTCAGCCATTCCAACAGGTGCAGTGATCCCATCTTTTCTACGCTCTGTTCCATCATACACGACTAGATTCATAAAAAGATCGAAACCTCGCAATATACCCGTAACAAATCGTCCACCATTCAACTTTAAATCCAATCTTTTATCCATAAACTTCTTTAATTCTAGTGGATGGGCTTTGCTCATGTTGATAATGCGCGATACAGATTACAGATACCGGCTTATCGGCTTTCCTCTCCCCCGGGATAAATATGTAAATCCTATCCTATCCTATCCTTTGTACCGTTGAATAGGTACGGTACTGGTTCAGTACCTACCTGTATGGAACAGAACAACACAAAAAGTGAACAAACAAATACAGAAATTCCTGGAAGGCGAACATAACTTAAAATAAAGTTAAAAAACGTACAAGTACGCGCTCGCCCACCAAAAAATAAAATAAGAATATTACAAGTATACAAAAGAATATGGACACGATTCAATATCGGGAAATGCTTATAACTCAATTTAAATGATAAAAGACACTTAATTCTGTGATTGCTGGAATCCGTGGATAATTTACATGGAGTAAAAAAGTGTTGCGCTTGAAATAAAACAGCAAAATTCAGGTAGATAAAATTATATGTACCGTAATAGACTCCTAGCGATCTTCTCCATCTCTGATTGATGAAAACCTAATGATTCAAATGTTCGTATACGATTACAGGATTATGATAGCTGAGAAATCGCCAGGAATATATATAAATACAGCTGATCCCGAATGCTGTAAATTCTGGGTCTGGGATGTTAATTCGTCTCGTAAAGACTTATATAACAGTATAATGGTACCGGTACCAAATTTTTTAGTATATATAGAAATTATGCATGCAGAAGAAGAATTAAGAATTTTAAATGAAATTGATATAGGCTATAAATATAATAATGAAGTATATTTTGATTTTTCTTACTACCTACTACTGTAAAAACAGAAGAACCACGTATTTGATTAAATTGAAATTTGGAAAGTACTGTACTGAATGTTATTACTTTAGCATAATTGACAAAGGATAGAATTCATATATTTATTTCGGAGAGAGGAGAGCCGATTGCAAGCCACAGCTTCTCGTCCAGTTACCGGTTCATGTCGGGTACTGGTATGGAATTGATTAGTCAGTTTGTTTCAGATGCGAGGACTTAGTGGAGGAGAAAGTTGAACCAGAGTTATGTGAACCACCCAATTCTGACCGAATTATATATTTGCAATCGCTTGTTCAAGTTTCACTGAATTTAACAAATCTCAAATTACAGAATTAAAATATAGTCAATATTCTATACTAAGCTATCAGCTTTTTTTCCTGTATAGAAAATATTTTCCTAAGTTCAAGCTGTTTATTCTACTTACCGTAAACTTGTCGGGAGAATTATTACTGATTCACAGACAAATTAGAATTTTGAATCTGGTTTAGTTTGATTCTAACTCAGCTAGTTTTGACGATTATTGAGGCATGACTGGCCAGAATTTTCTCAACTCAATTTATGAGCAATTGTGCTGCTAGCTTTTTGTTTTCTCATGTTAAAACAGTAACATAGAAATTCACCTCAGTGCAAAACTTTTTGTCTTTTTTCAACCTGTGGGTCTGGGTTGACTGTTTTGGGTTTTGTTTACGAGTTTTGTCATAAACTGGGTTGCCTGAAAATCTTCTTGTGTCACTTGCTTTTTTCAAATTTCCGGTTTCATTGCTAGTAGATTTGATTGTTGATTTTATATTAAGTATTAGAGTGTCGCTCATTAGTAACTGTTTATGTGGTATCATAGCATAAAAACTTGGCAGTATCTATTTTGCTTAAGTGAAGCCACGCCACGATTTTAAAAACTCGGTCATTACAATCAGGCAGATGTGGATTTGATTTGTAAAAAATATCTTTTGTACTAGGGTGACTTTGGTGCTCCAGAGGTATGTGTACCAATATGGAAGTAACTAATTTTGTTTGCTTACTTTACATTAAGTTGTGTAAAGAGACTGAAGCCTATGGGCAAGTGTATATTCATTTGGCTAATAATGACGATACCGAAATCTAAATAGAACAAAAATAAGGAAATTTGGAATAAAAATATGGCTTAACCCTAACCTGGTACACATACTACGGAAGTACCGGAATTTCTAAGTAAAAAGAAACATTCAAAAATAATTGTTTTACATAGTCTTTTAATTCTGCGACTAAAAAACACTACATTGCGCTTCTATGTGAGCATATCCTTGGGTGGTGAAATATCACAAAATTTATTTGTACATTGTATTAGAGCATGCATACAAAATATTGTTTTTCTCATGGAATTGTAGGCAAAAACTCTGTATGTTCTGCTGAGAATGGGACAAGTTAATGTAAGTAGGTTTCATTTCTCGGTGTCTTTGTGACTCATATTTATCCATTTCACTGTTGTTTATGAAATCTCTCATTATTACTTCCGAATTATGACTCCACTTATACTTGGGGTTAAAAATTTGCTGCGACTAAGATTTGACTTTAAATTTTGAATGACCTGTGGCTCGACTTCAGACTCGGCATTTAGAGACTTCTACTCAACACTGTTATTTACATGGGAATGGGAATCATTGAAGCATGACTGGTCAGATTAATCATAATACTAATGTCAAAGTGCTGTTGCTGCTAGTTTCTAGTTTATCAGGCTTTTGGTCAAGTGAAGTTTATTTGAGCCAAGGTTTTTATGGTTTTACAGGTAACTAAAATGTTTGTCCCAAGTATGATATATAACTTACAAATATAACTTACGCCTGTTTTCTATTTTTCAGAATCTAATCCTTACAATGTAATAATGCTAGCTTTGGTGATATTTCGTATTCTCAATTTTATTGCTGCAATTTTCTTTATTTTGTCAGCATTTGTACAATACAATGACCCAGATCCTGAGCTATGGATTCCAGTATATCTGGCTCCTGCTATCATTTCTGGATTAATTGGTTTTAAGCCTTCACTATCTGAATCAAAATTAATAAAAGTTTTTGACTTTGAACATATATTTTCTTTGCAACTATTTTATCTGCGTATTTGTTGCATCAAAACTATCAGAATAATTTCATCCACTGGGTGGTGCATGATGAAGTGGGGAGGGAGTTTGGCGGACTTGTGATTGTTATATTTTGGATTATTTTTATGCACGAAACATCACATTTATCTGTGAAGAATTGGTTATCGTCGGTTTTTATATGGATTCCGATTGCAATGTGGATTTATGTTTATAACAATCAGGAATATTGTGAACTTTGGCCTCAACATTGCCAGACTGCTCTTTATCCGGAAAGTTATCCTCCAGGAGAGGAAGGCTGATAAGACAACTTGACAATTTTTGTTATAAGAAAATTTCTCTAAGTAAGGTTATGCACACGAAGTCAAAAGCAAAACAGGTCTTTTTAGATAAGTTACAGGCGACCACAGAAGTGTCAAGAGCTGTTGAAATGGTAAAGATTTATATTAATCAACTAGGTTTTAGTAAATACCAAATGACACAAGGCATGAAGGAGCTCAATATAACTAGAAAAACAGTTGATAAATTGGAGTGGTACTGATACAGACGTCCGACAGGTTACCATAAATTTGCCACTACTTTAGAAAATATATTCAAATGTCCTATAAACCAGCATGGTACCAAAAGCCGGGTCTGAAAAGTCAGTAAATCATAATGAAGCATTTGATTGAACATTTTACTACTTGATTTTTAGGATAGAATAGGATTTACATATTTATTCCCTTATGAAAGTCAATAATATGGCTCAATCATATGGACCAGAGCGTCCAGTCTGGTTACCAGTCCATGTCGAGTGTGGGATTAGTTAGCTAGTTATTCATTTTCAGATGCGTGAACTTGATGGTGGATGAAGGCAAATCCGACCCGTGCTTAATGTTACGTGAACCACCCTACGGCCGTGAGGAGTCCAGCGATCCTCTCGCACATAATTATCCCAAAGGATTCGAACCTGCGCACTTGCGCAAGGTAATCAAAGGTGCGGTGGCGGGCATATTCCCAATATTAAGCCTGATGCGATACATTGTCCTGTTCTCTCTTAATTTAATTTTATGACAAAAAGTAAGACTTTAGTTTGAGAGAAATTAGCTATACGTTTTAAGTTGTATTCTAAACACCTATGACAAATTCCACATGGCTATTTATAACTGTTTTATTCCTGTCATATTTAGCTTTGAATTACAGAGTCAATAGTTAGAAATATCTGTAAAATGCCTCTCGAAATTAAAGTGAAGACTAATGGACATGCAAATAGGATTTTACAAGACTTGAACAGGTGAGTGCGAGACAGGGATATCTAAAATGATCGGGTTAAAGCCTAACTTGGGCAAACTATGTGACGCGGTCCGAAACCGGCCTGTTTGGTAATTCATTCTGGCCCGCCTGATGCTGCCACAACCAAACTAAAACCAAACAAACAAATTTCGTTGTTTCAGTTAAAATAAAGCTCAAGGGTTCGGGGTTGTGTTGTCATTCTTTGGGAGAAATTCTGCCATGTATTTCATGCCTGTAGTTTCACTAATATTCTTCAGTTCTTTATTATTACTGAAATATGTATTATGTATGTAAATCGGGAGTGCGACATGGTCCTGACCAGGGATGGCCATTTCCGAATACTAAACTATTCCGAATACATTCTAAAATGATGTTTTCGAATCTGGAATACAGAATACATTCTAAAATCGAAAATAACACAGATAATTCATTCATGTATTCAGATAATTGTGTGTATTTTCTGAGAGTAATAAAATTTATTGGCAATGCAGGCAACAACAATCTAAAATTCATTATGCCTTTAAAAATTCTCACATTTAAGCCTAGAGTATTCTACTACCTACCAGTATATTTGTATATTAATATATGTGAACCGTATTGTTATTATGTGTAACATATTGTTGTGTTTGAAATTAGAAATAAATTAGTAGAGGATAGATGACCACCACTGCCTGAAATTCCCATTGCCGCCTGTAACACCCACCGCGATTCCGCGCTCGTTAAAAGAGCCGTCATTCCAGCGTATAATATTCAATCCATGACAACTACGATATTCTAAAATATCTTTATATATTAATTTAATGTGTCCAACGTGACTCGCGGTTGCTTCTTCTTACCTCAAAAAAAAAACATTACTATTCGGTCCACGGCGATCTGTGACCTAAAATTACGAGATAAACTGCCAGATGTATTTAATTTTATTAATACGTATTTTTGCAATCTTGCCAACTCGTTATTGCCGTTACAAAAATCTCAAATAATGATATAAAATCCTGTTAAGTGTAGAGTATAATTCATTTCATACAATAAATATACATATAAAGTTTAGCAGTTAAATAAAAATAGATATCGCCGCGATCAGTGTTAACTCTAAGCAAATTATGAGTGCGAAAGTGCTTCGCAGTCCAAAAAAAAAGTGCGAAAGTGCTTTTGCCGATTTTAACAAGTTAGGTGCCCTAGCCTTTCATATAACCCATTTAAAACGGCATAGATACTCGAAAAAGCGCTCCTCAGGTTAATATTATGAATTAAAGAGAAGCCTTTTCGTTAACCGAGTTCCCTTTAAGCGAATTCATGTTTATTTAAAACAAGCGAATTCATCGGCAACGAAATGACATCTGCTAACACCTGCCGCGGACAAAACTTTCATGCAATGTATCACGGTGTCAGTTGCTTACTCGCGTAAACAGCAAAGACTTTCACATTTGTTACTCCTTCCATCTAACAGACACGAGGCCGGCTGGAAACCATATTAGTTACAGGGTGGATCGTTTTTGTACAAATCCGGTGCAAAATAATCCCCCCCCCCCCAAATATAAATAGCAATCAACTAATTAGGGTTAGGTGCGCTGGAAATTCAACTTTTCGATTCATCCCTAAACCTAATCCGATAATTATTAATTTGTGATTTTGAACCACTTTGAAAGTCGCCACCGGCTGTTTTAAAAGATACGTTCCCTCCGAAATATTATGCAGGATACTCTCCTGTTTTAGGAGATAGGTTGACCTACTTTCCTTTCAAACTTTTTTCTCCGAAATATTACACAAGATCACTTTGAAAATCCTCTGGTTTCGTGAGCTAGCGTGACCTAATTTCTCATTTACATTTATATTATACTATTTCAGAGCTTACCCAAAGACAAGTAATTTTTAAATGTCCACATGCCTTGGTTTGCGTGCGAGTTAGTTTAAATCGGGCATAAAACATCATATATTGGCAAAATGTTTAGTAATGTCATGTACTTTCAGCATTCATAAATAGCACTCTTTGTAATGCTGCTGACCTAGTATCAAATATTCGCATCACAACGCCACTTGCGAGGTTTCCATATATTTCAATTACACTAATAGGAACGATGACATCAAAGAGTTTTCTTTTGCGAAGGTACACTAAATATAACGAGTAGGCTTGCACGTAATTGACAAAAATCAATTCCGTAATTACGGCCAAATCGATTACGTAATGACCCCGTAATTGCGATATTTTTTTCACACATTTAAACCTAGCATACCAACCAATTTAATCCACTTCTATTCCGAATGGGACATCGAAGTTTGGTTTTCATATTCCCGGCAGTACCACACGCCGGAGACAGATGTTAAAGACAAATATCAAGGAGTGAATTCAAAATAATTTTATTCTGATTTTTATCTTTTGTATTAGCTTTGATTTTCCTTTATCAACTTTATCACCAAATTTTATGCGATCAATTTTATCATTACCAACACTGGTAATATATTTAAGAAACGATAGTTCACTTTTTTAAAATCGTATTGACGTATTAATACGACTTTCGTATTGAATAAAAATTCCGGGTTGCTAATTTATTAATCAACTACAAGCGTATTCTCTCGTTTGATTATACTTTCGCTTGCCTCGCGACGAAGACTTGTTATTTCACCGTTTTTTACAATATCCGACTTTACTACTTAGTTAGCATTTTATAATAATTATTGATGCCGACTTATTGACGATATTCCGAATTCCATGCTTCATTTTACATTAAATCATTTCGCGGCCTAAATGTTATAACATTATTTACGATAAATTTAGATCAAATATTAATTATTTGCGCATTATTTAAAATACCGTACTGATATGACATGCCTTCTCCGAAAATACAAAGTTATATCGCAAAACAATGCATTTTGTGACATTTATTTTGCACTCATGAAAATATTAATTTATTTTTCTAACTCAAGTCGACAATCCTATTTGCCAAGATTGACACAAGTTTGGTCGAGTGCCGGTGGTATTCAGGTCGACGATAAATCAAAATAAGTTGCCGCATTTGGTAAAGACAGGTAATCATATTTGGCCGACATATTGCGATTTGCGAGGCAATGTGAAAAACATATTGAGCAATGCCAAGTCCGGACAGATATATAACGATAAAACCGGTAACAGAACATCAAGATTTTGTAATAGAAAATGGATTTCGCGCAGAATAAACACGGGAAATCCCGTCGTAATGTTGTTTCTCTGCCGTCTCAATCGCTTTACCGATGCCGAAAGGACTAAGTTGCGTTGGTTCATTACGCAATTTCTCTTCCGTCTCTTGCTGTTTGATAAGCGCGACATTAATTATCACGACATTTACAAATAGACCATGTTTTATAAGTTGATCTCTTACATTCTTCACTCATTTCACCCGAAGAAGTTGAAACCAGGTGTGTTGGCGTCCATCGGTCTCGACACAATTCTATTCCTTATTTACGGTTAATATGTACATTGGCCATCTTAGATAAGTTGATAATAGGTTAGTAAATGACGCATTATGCCCTCCCCATCTGCCTAACAAGAGAGAGAAAAACGGCTGCGAATACCGGAACTCTAACTTCTTTTACTTAAACTTTAATTTTTTACAATCGACGGAATTGACTGCTCTGAAGAGAGCTCGTTTCAATCGCGAAAGCGCTCGACCAATAATTACGACTTTACGTAATTCGTGACTTCGCTTGCGTAATTCGAAATAATTCCGTAATTCCGTAAATTTGTAAATTACGTGCAAGCCTAATAACGAGGGTGATTCTTGAGAAAAACATGAATATAAAAAATAAACGAATGATATGATAATGGATCCCAAATAATTTTGAGCGTGTCTCGAAATACCAATCCATTTGATAAATAATTTTTATTCGACCACATGAACGCTGATATTCTGAAAATTAATGTTGAAAGAGAATTACGCATTCTCAGATATCGGACATCCAGTCGCGATATTCAATCGTTCATATGCACAAATCTCACATTAATAGTAATTGCTACCCAAGTTTGTAAAGTTTAGAAACCAACAAACAGAAAATAACTAACCTAAAACACAATTAAAATTCAGTCGGCAATAAATTCGTCGCCAAGACGATGCCATACAAAACAAAAAAGATTTGGACGCGAGAGTTACGTGAGATGACTGCCGTTGTTTTTTAAGCAGAATGTAAAAAAATTTATAATTAATAAACGGGAGTTACGACGCCCTTTACACATCGTGTGTATTAAACTTCCCTGGTAGGTACTTTGGTAAGTACTATTATTATCGTACCTATACACCTGTTGGAGTATTTCGGACAATTTCGAATTTAAAATAAATGAAAACCAGACATATAATAAAGACGCAAAAGTAAAATGAACATTTATTGAAAAAGTTATTATTTAAGAAAGACAACATGATCGTACAATTCCGCCAAAACCTCGATGTTCGCAAGTGAGATGATAAATAAATACTTCCCTGTATTCGATCAATTAACTTTAGCGTATCGTTGTTCTGCCAACAAACAGTCGGGTGCAAAATATTTCCGTCCTGTGATATGCTCACAAATATTCTCGATATTAATATCATACCCTCGCGTATGTACTTTCTATTAGCTCTTTAGTGATCCCTTCCATCCTTGGCCAAGTCATGTTTCGAATATGTGAACATTTTATTCGACCATACATGGCCGGCGGGATGTTAAAATTGTAAACAAGAGAGAGGTAAAATCAATCGCAAATTTCGTTATAACGGCTCGTTTACGAATTGTTGCGCCTGTTATCGTCGAAAATGATTACATTTGTTGTATTTTGAGGCATTTAAGCAGTAATAATTAGGGCATGACATCATCAAAATCGTCAAGTGAGATCTTGAAATTGCAATTCCGTAAATAAAATTGCGAATTATTCGGTAACGAATTCAGCTTTAATGACCGTCGGGGTATTGTTTTGTTGAAAATTATTATTAATTTGAGAGCGCCAAAAACATACAGTCCATACCGATGCGACTGCAATTTATATGGTCGCAATTGGTG